ACGTAAAATAAAATAAAAAATAAATTTTAAAATGAAACTTAACCAAACTTATACGATATGTTAATTAATTAATAAGTGATATATTGGTAAATATGTATATATAGAAGAGATATTTTATTCTTGAAAAAAAAATCTGCTTTTGCTTATGCTTTTTTAAGATTATAACTAGTCTTTGGACTTATTATTGACATGTTCATTTATTAAATCAATATTTTAATTCCCCCAAATTCAGCTCAACCTATTCATTTGTCACTTATAATTAATACTATGGAAGTAAAATAAATAAACAATAGAAGAAGAAAAGGTCATGCATGAAAGAGAAGAGTTTGTTAAGTTAGCCAAGATGGCTTGCCTGAAATCAAGGACACATGACCATCATATATAATATGGTGCATGTAAAGACCTTTCTAAGAGGTTTAGGCAAGTCATCCTTGGCTACCAAATAAAACCCATCTCATCATGCTAGACCTCTCTTCTATTCAAAGGTCGGTAAAATTCTGATCGATAAAAACAAGGACAAATTATTTAACTACACTCCTTTACTTACCTTAATATCCATTTATCCCTACTTATTTCAAAATTTTCAAAAATCCCTTATTTACCTATGTATCCCGTGCACAACGCTATGTATCCCTCTATGTGGAATGTATCAATCCTAATGTATCCCGTGCACAACGCTATGTATCCCGCTATGTGGAATGTATCAAACCTAATGTATCCCGTGCACAACGCTATGTATCCCGCTATGTGGAATGTATCAAACCTAATGTATCCCGTGCACAACGCTATGTATCCCGCTATGTGGAATGTATCAAACACTATGTATCCCGTGCACAACGCTATGTATCCCGCTATGTGGAATGTATCAAACACTATGTATCCCGTGCACAACGCTATGTATCCCGCTATGTGGAATGTATCAAACACTATGTATCCCGTGCACAACGCTATGTATCCCGCTATGTGGAATGTATCAAACACTATGTATCCCGTGCACAACGCTATGTATCCCGCTATGTGGAATGTATCAAACACTATGTATCCCGTGCACAACGCTATGTATCCCGCTATGTGGAATGTATCAAACACTATGTATCCCGTGCACAACGCTATGTATCCCGCAAACATCATTTTTAAGGGATTTTTGGTAAATAGAAAACTAGAAGGGATAGGCTGTTATTTAGCACTTATAATATGTGGTTCCTATAATTTATACAAAAAACAATCAATCTTTAAAGATTAATTTTTAACTAGTCTTTAGTAGTGAAAGTCTCACATCAAAGAAAATTCAGGTAATGGTGTAATTAAAAACCTTTTATGTAATGGATCGAAGCAGGCAAGTCATCCTTGGCTACTAAACAAAATATATCTATTTTCTTCATGTAAGACTATACTCTTCTTTAATTTTTGTTTGTGATTATTACTATATGGTATGTAAGACATGTATTATTGAGATGATGTTACTAATTGCCAAGTTATATCCATAGCAAAATAGTAATGGAGAACTAAAGCATCTATAGCAAAGTTACTTTATTGTCTTTGACTTTGGTCTTTTGATTTCTCAAATAGGAATAAGTTCTATCCATTTGTAAAGACACTTGCCCTCACCTTATCTTCAAGCAATTCTTAGAGGGAATGTATATCAACCACATTGACCATGGAATAATTATATATGTATGGTAAGTTTTTATTTCCATTACTCAATGTTTTCTTTTTGTATAAATTTTACTAACTCAACTAATTCAGATTTGTGTCATATAAGCCTATTGAAGCGAAAGTTCTTATCAAGAGTATTTTTCTCTATGCCTAAGGCTCAAACTTGAGACAATTATTTAAGAGTAAATGATCCATCATCCTGCCACGCCTCAAGGTGGTCAAAATTACTCAAGGTTACATAGAGTTATCATGAGATATTTCTTTTTAAAAAAAAACCTACAAAATTATGTATCAAACCACCAATCACATTTTTTGGGTAGAAATGATATAACATATTAATTATATTTTTAACGAAAAATATCATACAAATGAAACTGATTCACTATGGACTATAGAGTTTGTAGTAAGGTAGCCATTATTTACAAAAAAAAGAAAAACTAGTCGATATTTTTCTAACAAAAGTAGTTCCTGACTTCCTGGCATATTTTTGTCATAATAAATATCATAAGCAAATATAGAAGAAACTGATAGATAATAATATATTATCATAAAGTTGCTTCCTGGCTCCTTCTATATTAGTAATTAGTCTGCCTTGGGAATTTTGACTAATTTGTTCCTACAGAATCTGATAAATTCGAATCAAATCTATGGAATTGAAAGAAATTAAAGTCCATGACACTAAAAGAGGCATGAGTATTGACACATTTGTTTGATTTTTTCTTTATTATATTTATATTCAAAAGGCACATACATACAGAACAATAATCTTATTGGATAATCTGACCCCAAAAAAAAAAATGCTTTTAGTCCCAAATTTAGTTGGGCTCGACTTTATAATTTACATAAAATTTGTACGTTTTGTCTTTCAAATAGACTGATATTTAATTTTTTCATTATGTATCCTTTAGCAATCAAACTTATGCCTAGTGACAATGACGTAGCCACATATAGCTCAGTGTGGCTAGTCAGACACCTTTCATCAAAAAACTATACTATGTATAGAGAAAATTGTACGAAGTATATAGGTCAAAAATTATTTTTCATATCTATATATTACTGTAAATTTTGGACATTCTTAACGAAATCCACTGTATAGTGGGGTATAAGTTCTTTAGAAACTGAAGTTACCTATCCATATATAATTACTCCATGGTCAATACATGCTTGATATACTATAGATCATGGAGTGTATAGTTCTATGGTATTGGGATACAATACATTGCCACTAAAGAAGAGAACTTATTCCAATTTGGGAAATCAAATAATGTAGCTCAGAAACCAAAAGTCAAAGCAATAAAAAAGCAATTATTCTAGAGATGCTTATTTCTCCGTTTTTACTAATTTGTTGTGACTATAAATAGATGACTAACTTGCCATATAGAAATCATCTCAACATATATATGAAAGAAGAGAGATCTTACATGAAGAGGAGAGTCATATTATTGTTTAGTAGCCAAGGATGACTTGCCTGCTTCAATATTACTTAAAAGGTTTTTAATTACATCATTATTAATACAATGGTGACCTTTTATTGGTTGGTTTCAGGCAGTCTCCTTGGCTACCTTGACATGCTCTCCTCTTTCATGCAAGAATTTCTCTTCCGTTGTTTCTTCTATTTCAATTTATGTGATAAACTTTCATTTTAAGTCTGTTTCTAAAAGAATGACACACTTTTGAATTTGAAAACATTTAGTTTACACTTCTCATTTACTCTAACCAGCACAAATATTATGACATGTTTGAGGCCACAAGTTTCAAAGGTTAACACTCTAAAGTCATAAAAATGTTATAGTAGGTTTAAGACCATTATAAGTATCAAAAGTTTTTATAAATTATTTCTTAAATTCTATACCAAGTCGTCGAACTATAATGGAGGAAGTAATTTACAAAGGAGTCAAATTAATGAGAAGAGGAGTCTAGCATGATGAAAAGAGTCTTATTTGGTAGCCAAGGATGACTTGCCTGCACCACTTCTGAAAAGATCTTTCATATGTTCTTTCGTTCTTGGGGTCAAGCAGGTCATCTTTAGCTAACTTGACAAGCTCTTCTCTTTCATGCAATACTTTCTCTTCTTCCAATATCAAGAGAGCAAAAAGGATATGAGACGAAAATAAGTCTTATTTATGACTTACTTGAGCCATTTTCATGGGCTTATTGTGGTTTGCATATCCACCACATATGGACTGTAAAAGAGTTGAACTTTTATTTGAACACGCTGAGGATTTGTGGCAACATATAGTCAAATGTAGTTCACATATATCTAGGACTTGGAACATGAAGGGCTTCATATATGTATTTTGCAATATATGTGGGGTACATATGGCTCTATTCAACTTTTTTCTTGAGTGATTTTTTTTTTAGAATTTAAAGTTATGTTTGTTGATTTGAGTATATATTATTTTTTTAAAAAAATGAAAATTAATAGATTTGTGGGTTAAAAAAAGCATGTTACTTGAATTGTACATTTAAATTATTATTGTCTCCGTTTTAATTTGCTTATCTTATTTCTACATTGTTACTAGTTTGTTATGACTATAAATAGATGACTAACTTGACATATAGCAATAATCTCAATATATATTATTAATATATAGAAGAGGCTAGGAGCACACAGTTGGTCGTCAACATGTCAGCTTCAGCTATGTGCTTCCCCTCATACTTAGTAACTTGGCTTCAACTAGTAGCTTCAGCTATGTTCTTCCCCTCGATTTAGTTCTGCATTATTCAAATATATTGTTTTGAAAAACCTATCATCTAATTCGAATCAAAATTAACTTGCTTTGATTCGATATTTTTATTTAACTTTTTGGTTATTTGGTTTTATTATTATATAAGATAATAGGGATCCTATATAATTGAAAAACAAATATATTTAAAATGAAGAAAACAAGACTATATTAACCAATGGATTTGATTCTCCCAATTTTCTCATGTTAAAAGTGTTTGATGTAGACAAGACTCCTTTGTGGTATATAAATTCATAAAAATGTTTCATTTCTTTTTGCAATAAATAATGAATGAAACATCAAATAGATTTTATTCTCCAAATTCTCAATGCCTTGTTTAATTTCATAGATTTGATTAAACACAAACAAAAGATATTTCGGATTAAGGCTCAACCCGCCTCACCCCGCCCCATTTCCATCCAAATCAAGTGTCATTCTGCATTTTACTCTCTATTAGCTAGCTCAGGATGTTACATGAAAAGAGATTTCATATATTAGTTACTGATAGAAGTAGTTACAGTTAGTTAGTTAGGCACAGAAATTGAAATAACATAGTTAGTTAGAATTGAATCAATTTCAGTTGTATTTCAATTCTATATAAAGTGTAATACAGTTCCATACAAGATATGAAATATACAGTTCATTCTTCTCTCTTATTCTCTCTACTTCTATGCATCTCCATTAATTGTATTCTCGAGTTCTCTCCTGAACAATCTGTCGATCCTCGAATCCTTGAGATTCCTGCAATCGAATCACTATCCAGTAACACAGGAGTCACCCTATCAGCTGCCTTCTTTGCCTATAAAACCCAAAAAAAGACCTACATTATACTTCATAGAACTCGGTGTTCTAGATAAGAAATCAAACACCGGAGATCTGTATTGAGACACAATATAATTAAGTAATTAAAAGTAAGTTCTCCTTAACAGTTTAAACTTTTAGATGAGTTGATAACACAATTCAAGAATCCGCCTGAGTTACCAAAGAGTTCAAGAGAAATTTACCTCTTTTTCCCAATTTGTCCGAAGAGTAACTATTAAAAGAAGTAGTGCTTGTGCAAAAAGGGCAAGAGTGATTCCCAACCATAGTCCCTGAAAATCATTTCATCCGAAGATTTTTTCATAGTTCGAAAGACGGAAATGCTAAAAAAGTGAGAAGCTTGAAGGAGTACGTACCTTTCCACCTAAATGGTAGACAAAAGCTAATATAACACCAGCAGGTATTCCAAAAAGGTAATAAGCTCCCAAGTTGACAAGTGCCCCAGTCTTTTGCCATCCACACCCTCGCGCAGTACCTGGATTTTGATAGGTGTTAAGATCATCTAGTCATTTAACTTTAGTAGCAAATCCAACCATGGGTTTGCGGATTCAACAGAACTCAGTGTTTCAGGGTCTAATCTTATATGTATGTCTGTGAAAAAACAAGTATAGAATGGGTTGGTGAGCTCGTAGAACTCAGAGTTCCAGGGGAATATATATATGTGTGCGCGTGTGAAAAACAAGTGTAGATAGACATAAATATACGCTTCAGAACCCACTATCTCAATTAGCTAATCAAACTGCTACATTTAGCTATTCCAAATTTGCTTGGACTCTTCAAAAGTGTTGCTAGGTGCATTTCCGATCCTTCATAAGTAGTACATTTTTGGGGTATCCAACAACATTTTTGGAGAGTACGGGCAACATACCCGTCTAGCCTCCTCAAGCCTTGTTTTAGACAAATCAAGAATTGTAGTCGAGAGTCTTGAAATATAGAAGCAGGAAACTCATATTGTAAAAATTTGGACGAACCTGAAAGTACAGATTGAATGCCATCTAAGAAGTGGGATCCTGCTAGCAAGACTAACATCTGTGCTACATATGACACTACTTCTTCCTCAGTGCTATAACAGTAGCCCCACAGTTTACGAACGAAAATCAACACTATTGCTGCAATAACTCCTTCTGTAGCCACCAAGAATACTGCAGTACTAGCTGCTAAACGAGCTGCTTGAGGTCGTCCTGCACCTAGTTCATTTGAGACTCTTACACTGAGGAGAAAACCAATTAATTATACAAACTAATAAAGAACCATATAAAGGAAAAATTAACGATGTTGGAAATTCACCTCGTGGCACCACTTAGTCCTAGAGGTATCATATACACCATGGAACATGTATTGAGGCTGAAATAATTCAAAATTAGCAACCCTTTGAGATGTCAACTTGAGATTTGTATTAGTGTGTCTAAGAAGTCCAACCTGATTGAAAGAACCGACGTTTCTAGCTTTGGATTTGGAAGAAGTCCGGACAACAGAACCATCATTTCAAATGACCAAATCTCTAAGCTGTTGTCAAGAAAAGCAAAAGATATTTTATTTCATTCGTTCATTTTGAAAGGGCGATTGAATAAATGGTTCACATAGATTAAAAACACTACCAGAGCATAACAGCAGAAGGAATGGCAAGTCTCATGTATGTCCATATATCATGAAATGCCTCTTTCGAAAATCCAGTCCAAGTGCTTTTGCAGGAAGGCGATATTCTGACATATGCCGCTAGCAACAAGAGATTAATCCAGTAGGAAATAGAATTAGCCAGAGCAGCCCCCTTGTTGCCTAGCCCAGATTTAAACACCAGAATCCAACAAGTGAATATATGCAGTAAAGTAGTGATTCCCGCGCTGAACATCATGGGGATCACATTTTTTTGGGCTTGTAGAAATCTAATATGACACTGAAGAAGCGCATAGGCGAAAATAGTTGGAATCATATAGCGCGCATAACTTCCTGCTTCAGCTGCTATTTCCGGATCTTGTCCCAACAAAACAAGAATATGTCCTGCATTAGCCCAAATACAGGCAAGAGGAACACTGACCAGTAGAAGAACAAGCATTGCCCTTTGCATATGGATACCGAGCATATGATACTGCTTTGCTCCATATGATTGCCCACATAAAGTGTCCAATGCACTTGCCAATCCCAACTGCTCTAGCAAGATGCAGTATGATATTTAGAGATGCTAAAACACCATTTAAGTTGGTACCAAATAACTAAAAAGATAAATTTCTATATACTCAGTTATAATAACCTACAAAATGAACTTGGTTCCATATGTATCAATTAGTGGATGTGAGTAAAATTCTACTAAATGAAACACTCAGTAAACATGTCTGACATGGTAAAATTCCATTTAGCATTTATCAGTACAACCATTTTAGCTTACTAGCATTTGGGAGTAGATTCTGAAAATTTATCTTCAAATATCTGTTTGGCCATAAAATTTGATCAGATTTTGGAATTCCAATCTTCAACTATTATTCAGTTCCCAAAACCGGCTCAGACCAGCATTTGAGACTTCCAGTCACATAACTTCAAATATTTTTCAAATAAAATGCATGTCCAAACACAACTTCAAATTCCAAAAATCACAACTTTAAACACTCAAACTTTTCTAGGTTTCAAAATGTATGACCAAATAATAGCTTAATAACAAATATCCCCTTAGTAACATGAGAGCTTGTTGAAAATATTATTAAATAATAAAAATGTGATCCCCTCCTTCTAATAGCTTAAACTTTTAGATGAGATGGTCACACACTTCAATATGATATTAGAGAGCAGACAGAGGTCCTGAGATTAAATCTCACCGCCACCCAAATAAAAAAGAATTTTCACGTGTTTGGCTCAAGAAAGAAAACCAGGCCTGCACGTGAGGGGCGTGTTGAGAATATTATTAAATAATAAAAGTATGCTCCCTCTAATAGCTTAAATTTTTAGATGAGATGGTCACACACTTCAACAGAATTTTAACTAATGGAACAGACATTTCTTCAGACACCAAGAGCACAATAAGTAAATACTACTGTGATATTGTCCATTTTGGACCAAACCTGCATGTATTTTTTTCTCAAAAGGGCTCAATCTTTTCAGCTATCAATACGAGACTTTTATTTGCACGCCTACCAATAAGTTTAAAAAATAGACTAACCAACAAGCTGAGACCAGATACAGAGGCAAATGAAGTAGCCATTGAAGCACCAGAAAGAGATAACTCTCCAAGATGACCAACAAACATTATAGATATAACCTGTAAACAAGAAAGTAAAAAATTAACAGACATTAAAGGCCCTGCTAATACCAATAACCTCTTTACTTCTCCCAAAATTTCATTTTTCTTTACACTTTCTTCAATCAATGAACACTCAATGTCTTCTCTATCCATTTTTTTTGTCAATCTTCACTCTACAAACCAATATTTTTTTTTAACAGAGTATATATAGTAGTCTATGGTCAAAAGACATCAATGGGAAAATTTTAAAAAAAGACTTTTGCTTTTCGGGAAAGAGGGCGAGCAAGATAGTTAAAAGATGAATTTGGTATAAAATCTTAATTATAGTTATGAATTGTAATTTTTTAAAATTATAGTTGTATACAGTAAATAGTGTTTTAAACTGTACAGGTATGAGGCAAGACATTTTATGCAGCACGGGACGAGACATAAATCTCAATTCACAAGACATCTGACGGGGCATATATCTCATGTATATTCAATATTTGTCAGAAAATAAGTAAAGTAAAACTTTCAATAATTTTGTAATTTTTTTTATATTAATATAAGAAAGGAAGGTTTCAATATGTTAGTTTTTTTATATTCAATCAGGGGCGGGTTAACGTAATTGGAGGTCTAAAATGATATTTTAATTAGAGGCCTAAAATATAAACAGATTTTATATATATTTATTTAAATTTATTTTTTAATATTTTTTTTAGATGCAAATTGTTATTTTTTAATTTTTTTTATAAATGATTTCTTCAAACTTTTTCCTTCGGTTATTAGATTTAGGTAAAATTTTATCAATTTAATGTTGTAAAACATTCTTTTTACTGAGGCAAACATTATCTGAATTTTTAACATAATTCTATAAGTAAGACGTTTACAAATTTTAAATTAAGATAATAGTTAGAACCATAGAATTCGATTCAAGAAATTGATAACTTGGTCCACACTTTAATATACTTGTTGTAATGCTAGAAAAATTTAGAAGAAATAAGAAAAGCATTTGCAATTCACTTTGTTCAAATCTTTTCGACTATTAATTCATAATTTTGACAGAGTAATTCTCTAACTTATCAAAAATTTGAAGAAGAAGAAGAAGAAGAAGAAGAAGAAGAGGAGTACAAATGAGCTAAAAAGAATAAAATAATATAAGTATTAACGGAGAAAATATAAAGAGGCAGAACAATATTTACTTGACTTCTTCTCATTGAATGGAGTTAAAGAGAATAAATATATACCTTTTATCTAAATAATCAATTTTTAATTAAAAATTTTAACACACAATTTATTTTTGATAAAAAATTGAGAACCCCAAAATTGGCGGTCTAGGACATATGCCTTATCTCTTAAAACATTAAGTCGGCGATTCAATAAAAAGTTAAATACTCTTATGCACCTACGTCATTTGGCTCGCGCGACTGCAAGGCCTGCTCTGGGGGCTTAAGGATATAATAATATTTTACGAGATAAGTTTGATTAGTAAGATTGTCATTTGTGTTTGGCTATTTGGACCATATCAACAACTTAAGTTTGATTAGTAAGATTGTCTTTTGTGTTTGGCTATTTGGACCATATTAACAACTTCAACGGTTCATGCTTTCCTATAAAATTACATAATATGCCATTGGAAGATATCAATGAATATGATGGGATCAATTGAACTATTGACACATATGTATAGTGGTTGGCTGAGATCTCAAATTTTGCCAATGTTTATTACTTTATTTGTTTGTTTTTATTTGTCATATTTGAATTTAGCATATTTATTAAGAAAAATAATAATTGACATAGTTATTTTGTCAAATCATTTTTATTACTTGATGTTTAGTGTTAAATTTTGAAAAATGATTTGAGAATAAATAATTAATATTAAGGATTGTGTCACAACTAATGAAGAGTTTTATGAGCTAAGAACACATCCATCGAATATTCAAATTGAATTTAAGAAAGAAGAATTATATTCGATGAATAATTCTCTTAACTGGAGAGCTTTGCATAAAAAATGAATAAATAAAATAGTATATAATATAAGAATAAGGATCGAACAGTGTTGAAGAAAAATTCAGTTGTTTTTAATAATTAGGATGTCGTTATGAAAATAAGGAGCAAGATCACAAAAAAAATAAAAAAATAAAAAAATAAATTCATATAGTGTAGTTTAACTATAGGTTTCAATGTAGAAGATATTGATAAAATAAGATATTTAACATCAAATTATTTTTAAAAAAAATAATAATGATTTAAAAAAAAAAAAAAGATAAATGATAAATTGAACTTTTTTTCAATGAGGGTTTGGGCCTTTACTCTGGGTAGGGAATTAATTAGGGGAACTAAGTAAATACCCCATAAAAGCAAAATAATTACAAACATATATCCCTTTACATTATTACCTAATTTCATTTAACAAATATTAAATCAGTATCATTTATTGTATTGTTATTATTAATGCTGATAATTTCGCTTAATCGATACTAAATCATTATATATATTGTATCAGTATAAGGTTTGTGTATTATGCCTATAACTTATACATGTATTAGTTATAGATGTAGGTCTCTAAATTGCAAATCAAATATCATATTAATTTTATACATAGTTCTAACCAACTACCAAACATGATATTATTTATGGAGGATCTAATACATGTACTAACCAACTACCAAATGACCCCTGTGCAAGTATTAATATAATTTAGGGATTAGCTACGAGGGATTTTGTATATGATTTTATGCATGAATTAGTTATTCATGTATTAGTTATACGTGTATTAGTTATTCCACCTTTATCCACATAAAATAATACATAGATTCTCTCATATATAACTTATGCATGCATTAATTATATTGGGTTTAAATAGCAAACCAAACACAATATTAATTTTATACATGAATAATTTACTTCCTAATTAGCTACCGAACGTGATATTATTTAAGTAGAATTTAATACCTGCATAACTCACCTTCAAACCGTGTACCAAACGACTCCTAACTGTTTTGAATCCCTTGTGTACCATTTAATTAAAAAAAATGTTACAAAAAGAAACTATTGGTGGGAAATTAGACGTTTACCCTTTTTTTTATTATTATTATTTTCAATAGGTTTAAATTTTAAGTATGTTGTTAGCACACATGTTGTAAAGCTCCGTCCGCTAACTATTAATTTTTTGCTTAGGCTAAGTTGAAGGGGAAAAAATGACTATATAGTCACACACGACCTAACTTCAATGGATTATATATATCTCCATATATACAATGAATTATACTATGAGTTGTATACCAAATGAAAGTCCTTGTAATTTAAAACCAAGAAAGAAAGGACACATGACCATCGATATTATATATGGTGCATGTAAAGACCTTTCTAAGTGGTGCAGGCAAGTCATCCTTGGCTACCAAATAAAACTCCTCTCATCATGCTAGGCCTCTCTTCTATTCGAAGGTCGATAAAGTTATGATCGATAAAAAATATAATCAATCTTTTGGGATCGACGTTCTTACAATTTTTTAATAGTGAAAGTCTTGCATGTATTAATGGTGTTAATTAAAAACCTTTTAAGTAATGGAGCAAGCAAGTCATCCTTGGCTACTAAACAAATTATGACTCTTTTCTTCATGTAAGACTATACTTTTCTTTAATTTTTGTTTGTGATGAGTACTATATGGTATGTAAGACATGTATTTATAGTCACAATAAATTATTGAGATGATGTTATTAATTGCCAAGTTATCCATAGCAAAATAGTAATGGAGAACTAAAGCATCTATGGCAAAGTTACTTTATTGTCTTTGACTTTGGTCTTTTGATTTCTCAAATAGGAATAAGTTCTATTCATTTGTAAAGACACTTGCCCTCACCTTATCTTCAAGCAATTCTTACAAGGAATGTATATCAACCACATTGACCATGGAATAATTATATATGTATGGGAAGTTTTTATTTCCATTTCTTAGAAAGTACAAATTACTCAAAAATTTCTTTTTTTATAACATTTGGTGTTTCAAATTTTATTGACCCGACTAATTTAGATTTTGTTACATAAGCCTATATATTGAAGGGGCAATTCTTATCAAGAGTATTATTTTTCTGCATTCTCAAGGCTCAAACTCGAAACTGTTATTCTCTTTGGCTCCTTCACTAGTTAATAATTAGTCCGCCACTCCATTCTGTTCCCTTTAGCCTCTAGTTATGACTTATTTGTTCTTACAGAATCTGATAAATTCGAATCAAATCTTTGGAATAGCTAGAAAGAAATCAAAGTCCATGCCACTAAACGAGGCATGAGTAATGACACAATTATTTGATGTTTCCTCTATTTTATATATATTCATCTTGAAGGCATGCACATATCATATGATTTTAACCCAAAATTAATTGGGCTTGATTTTATAGTGTACATAAAATTGCACATTTTGTCCTTTAATAGGGTTGATTTTTAATTATTACCCTGTTGATTTATTTTTTCTTGTAGTAATTGAACATATGCTTGCATAAGTTCTTTAGAAATTAAAGTTGTGCCTCGACATAATCTATGAATATTATGGAATGAAAATATAAATCTATACTCTACGAAAAAAGTAATTTATTGTGAGAAGTATATAAATTAAAGAGGAACACAAAATAGGGCAGAAGTGCAAATGACCTTTTAATTTATCAGTAGTATTTAGTATGCTCCATTTAATCATATTTATTCAATGGATATATACTAACCTAATTATAAAAATAAAAAAAGATTAACAATACTGGGAATTTATGCACTAGTGAAGGGTACAATAGCTTAATTAATTTTCATTTATATTAAAACAATAGCTTAATAGTTTCTTGGAGGTTATTTTAGTTTGTACTTTCTCAGAAATGGAAATAGAAGTTTCCTATCTAGGGATGGGCTGTTCGTGTCATTTGGATCGGATATGAAAATTTTGATTTGGATATTCGGTTTTATTACAATTTAAATAAAATTCAAATAAACTTTTAAGTTTGGTTTGGATAATCGGTTTGAATATTTCGGATTTTCGATTATGACTTTTGTGCCTCTAAGTCTGACGATAACAATTAACAATATCAATTCACTTAATAGTTTGCTCCTTAAAATGTAAAACTTTCTAGTGTTAATAAGGATTTAGACTACTCTATCACGTATGTCGTGTAATTGAATATGGGCATAGGGTACTAATATATTGAATCTTTGATATGAATAAGGTTGTATATAAGATATAAATTTTTT